AAACGAGGCAGTAAGACAGGTCAGGCAGCTACATGGCAGCAGCAGAGAGGAAAGAGATGAGGTGGAGACGCAGGGGAGTGTGTGAGTGCCAACAGGGAGGAGGTTTAAGAGTGTGAGTTTGTGTGTGTCCGTGGGTGGGTGTTCCTGCATTTTTGGTAATCATACCGTGAGGATTTCTGACTCCCCTGACACCACACTTGTCTGTCAGGACAGAGACTGTTCCAAAACCACACCTGCCCCCCCTCCAACCCCCCCAAATCCAACAGAGACATCAAAACATCTGTAGTAACTTCATAAACAACAAATTATAACCAGTATAGTTAGAGTGCCGGGGTTATCAGTAAAAAGTCTTCATAAATTAAATAATGTTGATCACATAAAAATGTTAACTTTACAATTAAACTGTGTTAATGCAACACAACAAATCCAACAGCTGAGAAGTTTTATCATTTAATCTTTGTCAAACATTGAGCTATGTTGAATTTAATAGAAAATATCAACTTTTACACAAACTGGAAATCAGCTTCAAATCAATGCTTTGCAAAACTTTTTTTTTTTCAAAACTGAATAAAAAAATCTAAAGTAAGGTTTGATTTTCATCCCAAGTGAATTCAAGGAGCAGGCTGTGGCCTGGTGAACAAAACATCTTGCTAAACAGGAATAGAAGTTTTTGAACTAAAATGGAGGATGCGTAGATTTGTGTGTGTGTGTGTGTGCGTGTGTGTGTGCCTGTGTAAAACTAGAAAAAGAAACTATTAGTTGTCTGTTATTTGTTTGTCCGTCTGCATTTTCTATCACAGGATGCTCAGTGAAAGCTGACCTTTCAATAAAACTACTACATATATCTGTTGTTAAGTTGTTCATTTTAAAATTGCAAACATAAGCATCAGTTTCATGTAAACATTTAGTATTGTTTATATAAAAACTAAAACTAAAAACTAGAATGTAAAAGTGGAGGTTGGAAGCTATTGTGAATTCTACACATTGGCTTTTCCCCGGCCATAAATTCTCCACAGTGGTTTAGCTCCTAAAAGGTTTTTTAAATGTGAGCCAACAGTGAACCAGAGAGAATGGTTTCATGACAAATGGTGGCAGGTTATGGGCCAGCCGCACAGCATGCAAAACAGTAAAATGGGACAACATTTGGTGTGCAAATCCATCAGTCCATTCAAATAGTGTCACACAAAAAAATGCAGTTAACATGAGGGGAGGAGGGGGGGGGTTACGGGGGAAATCAGAATATATTTTAAAGGCG